CACTTCCATGATTTTTGCTTGCTGCTATGATCTTAATCACTTCTAAAAACATGATTTGGTGAGATCGTCGGGGATCACTTTGATCCATCTTGCTACCATTCAGTCAAGAGGCCAAATTGCCCTTTTCTGTAAAGTAATATTTGCCCTCCCTTTATGAAATCATAAGACCCAAGCTTCAGTGGCTCTTCTGTCATTCATTTGACCCTTCCTCACAATCTGTATGCCCGTGGCTGCTTATCAGCCGTGGCTCATGGTTGTTATTTTGGAGAGTGTGGCTGTTGCTTCAACCTTCCCACTTCCTATTTCTTATTCAATCTGCATTTGCTTCGGGTTGTCTGTAGTGCTCGGCTAAGTTCTAAGTTGATTATTTAAATGTTAGGTGATTGGTCCAACAATATCCATGTTTTTTTTTTGTTTCTGGTAATGATATTTCTAAATATTTAGGCCTTCAGTTTGCTGTTTGTTTTAGTTTTAGTTTTATCCGTTGTAAAAATCTCATGCCTTTTATACCACAATTTGGTAAATTTAACTCTATATTGTGTTGTGAATTTATGCATTGGTAATAATCAAATTCCATCTCTTCTCTTGCAATTCTAATTTTCATGAAGTTAGGAATTCTATGCTTCATGTATTCCTTTATTTTGATCTTAACTTTTGTTTAATGAGGCAAAAGAAGGTTAAATTTCAATCTGATTGGCATCAAAATGAAGAGGTTATACTTTATTGCTTACACAAATGTTACACCTTATTTTTGTTTTTCGGCACGCCGCTATTCTTATTGTTTTCTCCCTATCCATATATCTTGCGATCTGCATTAATTCTTTGTATTGTTTATAGGTTGGATTCCTCTACTTGAGATATTATGCTGATCCGAAGACTCTGTGGAACTGGTTTGAGCCATATGCAAAAGATGATGAGGTACGAGGTTATGAATTTGATATCTATAGCTTTGAATGTCTATCATCTTGTTTCGTTTATTAAGCTCCTGCGCTACCATCTTTTTCTTCTTACTTTATTCTAATACTCTCTGTGTCCTTTATTATAAGGCTTGCTTGCAAAATTTACGGTTATTAAGTAAAGTAGCTGTACCAATAAATTTGTAAAAAAATATTTGTTATTTTTTCTTAGTCATCCCTATAATTATTGATATAACAAGAGAGAGAAAATAAATTTATGTTTTTCAATTGTAAATTAAATTGGGGTATTTTAATAACGAAATTATTAATGCATGTGAAAGTTTGAAAAGGGGTCTTGTATTAAGGGATAAGAAAATATGAAAAATAGGTCTTATAAATTGAGATGGAGGGAGTAATTCTATTTCTACTTTTTTCTATATTTAATCAAATTGTATGACTGTTTCTTTTTGTTGCAATTATACATTCCTCATGTATCAATTTGGTTTTATCTATGAGGGGTTCTGTTCAAGGTGGTGATGCCTGGATGTCACACTTCTTTAGTACTCCCTCCATTCCTTTTTAATTGTCACATTTTCACTTTTTACACATACCAAGAAAGCTAATAATTGTTGTTCCTTTTTAAACTAAGATTTTTCTTTTGCCTATAATACCCTTAACTTTTAATCATTTCATTATATATTTTTTCTCTCATAATAAATAGTTAGGGGTAATTTTGACAAAACTATAATGATTACTACTTTGAAATTTGAAAATGACAATTAAATAGAAACAAATTTTTTTCAAAAGTGACACTTATAAAGGAATGGAGGGAGTAACATTTTATTTTCTACGTGTGTAACAGTTATGTTTGCTTGATATGGAGCTATGCAAGTACGAGTAGTATATTTTGTCAAACTCTATATGATATGCTTTTTAGCCTAATGTATCAAGGTTTTGGTATTTATTTTATGCTTTGTGGCTATATGGTCCTTTTCTATGAAATATAGTTATTTATTTATGTTAAGTTTCTTGCATTATTATCTATCTTGGGATAGCTTTTAAAGGCACGCTTAGGTAATGTTTATTATTAGTCATATTAAATTATGGTGCTCTATTTCAGGAATTTTCTCCTGGATCTAATGGACGGATGACTACAATGGGAGTATATATCCGTGATTTGCTCCTTGGACAGGTTCGTTATCTATATGAGAGTATGCTTTCTTGTTTAAGTTCTTTGGGCTCATGCTCTAATTTTGATTGTAGACAATCAAATACATTTACATGATAATATCATACTGAACCCTGACCCCTTGATATAGAGATTTTTAAATGTAATGATGACTTACAAGGCTAGGAAAATAATCATTTGACTCGAGTATTTAACTAGTTAAATTGAGAATTCTCTCTTCAGAGCGCTACTACCAGAATGCAGGTGCATCACAAGAATGCAAATGCTGATATGTTCCTCATCTTCACATATTTTGGAGTAACAGTATGAGGTGCTTTCATACTTTCAAGATCTTTGGACATAAACCTTTTACACTTGCCATTAATTTCTCATTAGTATAGTATACTAGTTCAAAAGAATCTTTCTTTTTTCTTTCACAACATTTTTTTCTTGTCTTATTTGTGAAATCACTACTGTGGTTTCTGGAAAAAAAAAACTGAGTATTAATCATATATCTGCTTTAGAATAGAACTTGTGTTGGTCCTGATCAAAAGTCAAAACTCAAAAGGGATACTAATATTGGGAACCTGAACTGGAGTGATCAAGTTGTTAGTTTATGGGAGACTGAGAAAGGAGATAAAATTAGATCGAAAGACCATAGGAGACTGTTTCTATTATTAAAAATCACGAATCAAGTAGAATAATGGACCCGTTTGTTTTAGATTAAAAAAGGTCACCAGTGCATTTTTTTCACGCATCTGCTTTTTTCTACAATCATTTGACATATATATTTCCCTCAAATATTTTTCTTGGGCATATGGGAGTAGCTGGACTTCCCTTATGATTTAAACTTTTGATATTATGGGTTAAATAAGGAAGGAACAAGTTCAAGAATTGAAAAAATTGATTATCTTTTCATAGAGAATTTTAAATGCTATTTTTTATCTTTCTCGTGAATTTTGGTTCAGTTTATGTTGTCAGATCATGTACACGCTTGTTCTATTCTTCCTTTCTTATTTTCCTGAGTATTTGGTATTTTTGTTAATGCTTCGGTACTTAGAGTTAAGTGCTAACAGTTTCTTCTGACAGTTGTAATTTTTTGTGTTCTATTGACAAAGTTGAATGCTCCGTCGTTTTTACCCTTTTCATGGTAAATTTAATTTTGCTAAACTTACTGATGATTTTGCTCTGCTGGTGCAGTACTACTTCGACACACTTTTTCCCCGCATCCCAGTTCCTGTAATGCGTCAGGTTGTGGCAAATCTTGAAAAGTTGAAGCTCCCTACTACACACTGTGGTACAACAGGGGAAACCACCCGTCATGGTTCTGATGACACTGCCCGTAGACCACCTTCTGTGAAAGCTGCCCTTTCAGTCTCTTTTGGTCAGCGTGCGCCACATCGAGCCTCCACAAGGGATTCTTCACCCATCCGTCGTACAGTACCTCCTCATGAAAAAAATGGCACTGATGACATAAGACGATCTCCCAGTAATCGCCGCAGTCAGAGCCGTGAATATCCTGAAAGGGATAGAGACAGGGAGCGGTCACGCTCCAGGGACCGGGAACGTGAAAGGGACAGGGAACGTGACAGGGACAGGGACAGAGACAGGGACAGATATTATGACCGGAATAGGAACAAGGACCGAGATGCTGAAAGATACAGGGATCGGGACCGGGATAGGGATCATGAGAGGGACAGAACCAGGAGGGAGAGGGACAGAGAGAGGAGTTATGATTATGACAAGAGGTCTAGGTACGCAGAGAGAGAAAGTAGCCGGGATTACGACAACAGCATTGGCAATGGTAGTAGGCACTATCGTAGTAGGAGTCGAAGTAGAAGTAGGAGCAGGAGCCGAAGTCAGAGCCAAGTTGGAACTGCACGATATGACTCGCATTCTAGTCCACCAAGAGATGGAAGTAAGAAGACTTCTGCATCAAGTAATCTAGCTAAACTTAAAGATTTGTATGGCGATTTAGGTGATAGTAAAGGAGATGCCAACATGGAAAGAATTCCTAGAAGGAATAATGGTGGCGAAGAGGTTATTAGACTTGGTGGCTCTTCTTGGAAGTATTGACAGATATCACAGAATGCTTGTATTGGATGTTGGATAGCTTTTTCATTGAGAAAATCATATTGGATATTGACATTTCATCGCCTTTCATCATCACTTTGTTGACATTAGTTATAGGTTGATGAATGCTATCTATATATTAGTATATATAGATGATGTATACTAAAGTTTATTTATGTTACATTGAATTTCCTGCTTTGTAAGTGCAATTTTAGACTTAATGATCATTTATGGAGACCGGGTGTACCATGCTTCTGTTGTTCAGATGAAACCAAGTTATTATAAACTTAACCAATGCTCTTAAGTTGCTCCTTAGAAAGTTGCTCCATGCTTCTTTTATGAGTTCAAGCTTTTAATGTTGGGTGGATTGTGTTGACATTTATTCTCAAAAATATTATTCTTCTTTAATGTACTTTTTTAGTCATTATCAAAATTTTGTAAGCATAAAATGATCCTTAAATATACTTCATTTAAGTGAACTTGCATCCCACTTTCTCCTCCACTTGGCTTAAATATTATTCTGCTCTATTCTTTTTTAAACAATACATGAAATTTATATATAATTAAATGCCAGATTTCTGAACTAACTTTTTCATCATTGGAGAAGCAAGTAACACGCTGCTGAAATGGTAGTTGTAGCTATGTGAATATATAATGTTAAAAGCTCTTCTATAATTTCAAAAGGAAAAATTGTGAGTTCATTATCATGATACATTTTCTATCGGACTCTATAAATTTGGTATGCAATTGTATTTCCCTACTATTCTTTAGTAAACCATTTGCAATAAGATGTTAAGTTGCTGTATTACACTGCACATAGTAAAACAAAGGCTCTGATTTTTTTTCAGTGAGCTTCTTCTAGGCTATTCACACTTGATGGAACGGTATATGTGTCTGACAAAGATTAAAGAAGCTCGGAAACCGACAGTGCCAAGCATGAGAAAGAAACCGTAGCAAATGCAAGCCATGTAGCCGAAAAAGAACGAGGTTTGCATGAAACCATACATATCTGATCTTGCATGGTAGAAAAACATGCAGTAGGAATATATGAACAAACCAGTTGATCCACCACAAAGGAAAGACCTAATATCATGTCAAAAATGCCCAAGTTAGAAAACGTAGGAACATGATTTACATCAATGCGTAGCCTAAGAATGCACATGTATGGTTTTGACAGTAATACTGGAGTCCAGATCCTCTTATGCCTCTACTTCTTAGAGGTCGGCCACTGGATTCATCCAACAACAATGAGATCAATACTCTCAACCATTAGATGAATAAGACGACCAACCTTTAATGACCAAGGTAGAAGAGGATCGATATCCGTCTACTATAGGGAGAGTACTCAAGGTTACATCATATACATACCTCCACCACCATTCATGATCCTCAGCAGCAAGTTGAAAGTACGTCAATGCCACATTAACAAAAGCAGTGACAATCAATAGAATGATGAAAACAATGAACAAAATGCTGTATATGGTATAAATCTGATGACCCCAAATACTAGAAAATATGTAGTAGAGTTCAATGTAAATGGCACTGAATGGCAAAAAACCAGCCATAGCCATCTGAGTGAGAGTTGTACGGTACCAAGGTAGTTGAGGAATCTCCCTTGGATACTTGTTGGTTGGACACGGCGCCAGAAACTCTGATTGGCTATTCTTACCAGCAATCCCTCCCAATACCAATAAAGGCGACGTTACAAGAGTCCATATGAGGAAAATAACCATAATTGTTCCAATGGGTAATGCTGCAGTTGAGTTATAGGCAACAGCAACAGTGTTAAGAAAGCTGAATGTCAAAAACAACGGTCCAGAGAAAAGACTTCCAGTTAACACCAAAATTTTCACCTGAAATGCAACATACCAGTACTTTAGAAGTGTAATCCACTTAGGTTTGTTTTTTCTGTTGTATACCTTCAATCGTTTAAAAAGTAAAATCAACTTGGAGTTTGATGCATTCAGCAGTCAATGATCTCGACTTCAGTGACTGCGTGCTTGAGTTATTGATTATTGTGAATCTAGGTCTGGGGAATCTAGATAAGTAGTAAAAGGCGAGTATTGAGTAGAGCATCAAAGATGTACCCAATTTTTCCCTTCAATCTTGTAATAGAAGGAAGCTGCAGAATAACCGGCAACACCGGACGTTAGTGCATATATGACAACCAGTGCAGTAAACAAAGCTCCCCTGTTGTATGGATAGAAAACACCAACTAGAGCAAGCATAAAGATGAAGATTACACTGAAAATGGAAACGGAGTAATATAGTCACAAAAGAGACATGAAAATTGAGTAAACAAACACCTTTATATGATTTGTACTATTAGAAGGTAACTCACTCACAGTGTAAATAACTGAGAGCCTATTCCAAGTGCTGCTGCAAACAAAGCCTTGAATCTTGGATATCTAAAAACATCGCCATGGATATATTTCCATCCACTCTCCTCTTGGTCATCAAGTGCCTCTTCATCAGGAGTAAACCTATCATAATATTTGCATATGTTGATGAAATAAGTTCGGAAAACTAAAAGGTTTAATCCATGAAAAAATTATTCTAAATTGCGATTGCAGCTGCAATCCAAAGGTTTCAAAGATCACTGCACGCCAAATCGAGCGCATTTGCTCGCATTTTGATGCAATGTCAAAGGTTGCATCCTAACCGCAATATAGAACAATGCGGGTGAGATCAAGAAATAAGAAGATTCTTACTTGACAAAATCATTCTTAAGTACACGCATGAAAATCATGGCAAGGAATCCAGTCAAGAGAAGAACAGTAACACAAGAGTTAATAATCGAAAACCAATGGACTTCCAAGTGATGTGAAAGCGAAGATGTTTGTGAATATTTCTCCAACCTTTTCTCAAAAGGAATATCTGTTTCAGTCCATTTGACAGAATACGTGAAATCGACATTTACCTCTCTATCTTCTGTCAAATCCACAACAGCATTGGGTTCATTTCTAACGAAAACATCGATGATACGATCGTTATTGTATAGAATCTCAAAATGAACATGCCTAAAAAGATAAATCGTAGCCTCATTTGAGTCATCATCATCATCATCTTTTTCTTTAGTTTCAAATCTTCCAAGGAAACCCCAAATTGGCAAATCATCATAGTACATTTGATAAAAATAGTCCTTCAAAACAGCACGTCTAAATTGATCAACCTCTTTTCTTGTTAGTATCTTTTTGCAAATGCTCTCAGGTTTCTTATTAATCAAGAAATCAAGTTTGTAAGGAGAACCAACTAGTCTATCTCCATTCAAAACTTCACCAAGATCTTCTTTCTTTTCTTCCACATTAGCTGCAGCCAACAAATTTTCGAATGTATAAAGTAAAGTTAACTAATACAAAGACAATAATAGAAAATTTTGGGTGAGAAATGAAAATAATGAAAACCAATATACCATCAAACAAACCTGGTCTGCAAAAGGGAAGATCGAAATATTTATATGTCTCGCTGCGGCATCAAAAAAATTCAAGGAAAACACAATGTATTAGTAACCAATTAAGAAGAATTTCATGACAGTGTATTAAAAATGAATACATACATTACACTATTTAATGCAAAGTTAATAATTTCAACAGGCTTTCAGCAAAAACAAGAAATGAAAACACTTTTATACAAGCTATGCTTGATTTTCAAGATAAGTCTTAATTAAAAGAACTTAAATCTCGTCTAGTTATGCAAACTTAATTGGTAGTTGTGCAGAGACATCACACTGCAGAGGCCCGGACTCTAACCCGCCAAAAAATCATTCCAGTCGGTCGTGATTCTGTCAAATTCAACATAAATAGTTTCAAACAATCACTAAGACATGCTCATCTCCTCTTCACCCACCTTGAAGAATTCTTGAATGGTACAATGACAGAACCCAAAATTTATTTTTTATTCAATTTTCTTTATATATAATAAAGATTATAAGACAATAAATTGCATCACTACCGGAATAATTTCAGAAGCATTGGGATCAAAAGATATTTCAAAAGGGTATATGAAAAAGTGAAAGTAAAGAAAATCTAACCTGGGATTATGAAAGGGTCCCGCTTTGTTGGCATAAAAGGGCACAGAATCACCTTCTTTATAACGATGATCAGATGCATCAGATGCCACATAGTTTATGCAAGAGAAACAACAAAGAATCACAACGGTACTAACCAAACATAACGTTGACTTTTCCATAAACACAAACCCACATACAGAGAATGAAAGTGCAATGGTAATGGTTTGTTTGTGTGCACTTGATTCTAGAGTTTCGAGAGTGGTTTGAGAAGAAGGAATTTCCACGATAGTTGGTTGTGAAGATTTGAATACGCACGCACTTCTAGAAATGGAAATGAATGATTTTTGTATAGAGTTGAAAAGGAATCGTCTTCGTGAATGGTGTTGAATGATGACAAGTACGTGTCTTCTTCTGACTAAAACAAATTCTGTTTCTATTTCATAAATTAATGTCAAGGTTCCTACGATACTTGTTTTTCTTTCTCGTGTGAGACCCACTTAAAAATATTTTCACATTTACTTTTTGTTTCAGAATTTGGTGCCTATTCTGTTTTAATATATTAAAAGTTATTATATATAATATAAAAATAGAATATTTATTAATTAGTTTGGTAAATCTAGCTTAGTTAGTGAGTGGAGTTTGGTAGAATTACATTAATGAGATTTAATTAGGTTGATGGAGAGTATATTTCACTTCATTATAGTATGACACAAATAAGATATTGATTTTTTTTTTTTGGAGCTTTGGGAATGAATTAATTAAAAAACGAATAATATAAGTATTATGACTAATCTTAATTGGACATGGACCAGCCTTTGTGGGAATGGACCTACCTAGTTGATTGAGGTTGGGATCATACAGTTAAGTGCAACTTTTCCTTCTATGTGGACCCCCACTCTCCTATATCCCCAAATTTCAAAGTGTGGTTATTTCTGATTAAGAAAGGAGGAAATCAAACTAACAAAACAAATTATATTCTAAGTACGATTTAGTTAAGAATTTAATTGAAATGTACTTACATTATAAAAACATTTTATACTGTCATTGTAAAATTATTTAAAACGTTTAATTTTAATTTTAATTTTCTTTAAAATAATAAAGTTGAGTGATCGTTAATGTATAAAAATTTACGGTTATCAATGCATAATAATTATAGTTAGTAGTTGTAAAAATATTAATGACTTAAATGATGTTTTAGTTCCTCTATTTTTCAGAATTTAAAATTTTGATTCTTCATTTTTAAAAGTTAATTATTTAATCTCTTCATTTCAATACTTACGAGATTTTAAAATTTTCATTTTATGTGTCATTTTAAATGACATGATAATTATCATTAAATTGATGACGTGTCATCCTTACTTGACATATTTAATTTTTTTTTTGTCATTTATAATAAACTTTAGTTTTAATAATAATTTATTTTTTAAATATTTTTTAGTTGTTTTTTTATAGAAATTGTGATTAATTAATTATAAATTTAAGTTTAATGGAGACACACTATCATTCAATTGAAATGTAATATTTTGTCGTGTCATATAATTTATTTATTTTTAATTACAGTATGATTTACGGGATTCATGATCGTAGTTGATTGACAGTGTAAAATATTTTTACATTGTCAGTGCATCACCCATTTTCTCTACAATTTTTAAAATGAAAATTTAAGTTGAAAGAGGTGCGAACAATATTCATGCTAAGCACTTGAGAAAAAACAATTGAATCATTTATTTATTTTTTGATATTTATAATAATTGATATGAATAACATTGTATTTTTTTTATCAAATTGATGAATGCAACCCTCTTTCAAAAGCATGGTCATAGAGATAAAACACATTAAGTTGCAGCTGGTGCACCCGCTCCAACCTTAGGAGCTAACCACTCCAATGGTATATGCGGGTGGAGTCTGAATGCATCAACCTCAAATTAATCTCAAACTCGGGGGAAGGGAATGAGACACAACTTTTGACCAAAAACGGTC